AGCTAAATGATGCAAGAGTTTGTAGTGACGTTTCAACTTCTTTTTTTTTTTTAAAGATTTTTTTGGCTCTAGTGGCCTTTATTTGACAGTTAATTGACAGGAAAGTGGACAATGAGAGAAGGGGGAAGACATGCAACAAAGGTCGCCAAGGCCGGGAAATGAACCTGCGACAGTTGCGTCAAGGACCAGGCCTCCATATGTGAGCTGTGCTCAACCCCTGCACCACCACAGCACACCCCTGACGTTTAACTTCTTATCACATTTTAGCAGACAGACAAACTGGCATCGATGCGTGTTAGACTAAATATTTCATGCTACTCCACCAGTGAATACTTACTTTGACTAGATGAGGTCTGACACTAGTGATCATGGACGTGTATCTCTCCACCACGGGGGGGAATCCCACTTCCAGCTGGGCTTTCGAGTGACCTGCCCTCCTCATGATGGTCTGGGACTTCTTACACCAAGGCACAAAGTGCTTGTAGTCGTCGACGTTGGCCACCACATCATACATTTCCTGCATGGAATAACTTTGAAAGAAAGAATTACAAGGTTAAGAAGTGATATTTTCTTAAGCTCAAAGCTTTTATTAAATGCTTTTAATGAAGTTTCATTATGTTGTTACAGTAAAACAAGGTAATCTGAAAAGATCGCTCTCCCTCAACTCCTCCTTGTGCGGCTATTTCCACAGTAACAACTTCCACACTGAAGAGTGTTGTGGTTAGCACAAACCAACAATAACTCACTTCACCTCTGTTTTTAAGGGCATTTGCAATGTGAAGCATTCAATGATTGGCAAACCTCCACTAACTGGTTAACTCGATAACAGCAGAGTTAATTTTACACTTAGTGCTGTGGCATTTTTGTGAAGTTTGAAAATGTTTCAGCGCACTTAGCTTTACCCAAAGTAATTCTGCCAGATAAATTCTACAGCACTAATTTATTTGCCTGTTAAGTAAACAACCAATCAGAGCTAGGAGGAGGGACGTAACGCTGTCAATCAACCTTGTGAATGTGTTAATAGCGGAGGAACAAGTCACCGTTTCTGGTTAGCACTGGGAGAAGCAGAGGAGTTAGATTTTTATCCGTCTCATTCCATACAGTCACAAAAGAGTGACAGTTTAAACAAACATAGAAAAAAATATAATTTTTTTAAATAAAATACTGCAGCTTAAGCAATAAATAATAGGTCATACTGAAATATTACCCAAGTATTCGACGCTCTGAGTACTCCTTCCTTTTGTTGGTGAGGCTGATGAAGTTTCTGCTCTGGGGGACAGTCGTCATCGTGTCCCACTCTTGAAGGCAAAGCACCTTGGGACTTCTCGTCATCAAAATGCCACATGAAGACAGGTGTCTACAAGGTGAAAGCAGATGCTCTGTGAGCTTCATTCGGTTTCCTGGGTATACAAACCAACCAAACAGCTCTCCTGTGTTCTAGTTTCCAGCTATTGAGGTTGACCATAATGGCATAAAAGGTCAGGGTTGGGAGAATGCTGGCATTTTCTGGATTTGGTGTTTACATGTAGGGAAACTGGAGGATTCTTTGCCATCCTTTGAAATCTGACTGATTGACAGGACAGTTACTCTCATGTGTTTCACACCTGAACTGTCCACACAGAAACACTCAGTCGGATCAGGGACATATTTTAAGTCAAATACTGGGTTAATTTATATCCTATGAGAAATTATGACCAATGATCAAAACAAAAAATAACAGTAAGAGAGATCCTTCTGGTACATATTAATCAAAGTCTGATAATCCAACTCGCTTTTATTAGACTACAGGAAATCAACTGGTGACAGTTTGAACAACGCGTCTGGCCAGAAAAAGTTAGCCATTGGCACAATTGGTGAGGAGTTTAAAACTGAAATTAGAGGACACACAAAAATTAAAGAAGCTATTTAAACACCTATGAGAGAGAGCAACATTTATCAGATAACAGGAAGGCTTATTTAAATAGAGCAAAGTTTTGGTTTTATCATTTTGAGCTTTTTACCCTCTGTCAGGAAATATGTTGCATAGCAGCCTTATGGAAATCTGTAAATTAATATAATTATCTATTCTGCAGGGATGTCTCTCTAATTATGTAAAATCATAATGTAATCATTTTATATTAAGATTTCTTATACACAGAATGAAACTGTCTGGTTCAAATACTAATGGCAGGAGGGATAGAAAAGACAAAGTTTAAGACTTTTTGTATACCTTAATAATATAGTTAGAGAGAAATCTAAACTGGCTCAAATGTTATTAGTGGGTCAAAGGTTTAGAAAAAAAATGGATGGAAAACAGTCATAAAATTCAAATTTGATCATTTATACTCCAAGTAGATTACGTAAATTTGCATAAACTCTGATGCAAACAAGATATTTGGCCAATTAGATTAACTTGACCTATTTTTTTTAGTGGCTGTGACGTTAAAGGTCACAATGAGAATACATTGAAATTGAGTAAATTAAAGATTAAGGAACCTGGTAGTTAATCAAAATTAGCTAAATAGTTTCAGTGACATACATAACAAAAAGTTAACTGATTTAATATGTCAACACATGATTAAAGTTTCAATAACAAACTGGAAATAATTTATATATTGATTTTAGGACATCGTTTCGTTTGAAAGTGACCTTTACAAGTCAAAAAACATTTATTTTAACCCTTGAAAAAGGCAGAACAATCGCTGAAAATATTACTTTAGACTCCAGACGTTACAATATTATATTAGTCAAACCAGATTAGCCAGTAGGGCCAGTATAAAACATTGGTAAGTGACTTTTACTAAACGGATATTTAAACATGACTAAAAATCCAGCAGATTTCTTACCTGATGTTTTGTCTCAAACATCCTCTTTGTAAAGCCGAACGACAGGAGCGAGGGGAGCCCACAGTGGCGATCTGGAGAAAGTCACTGAACGTCCGCACACCCATGGGTAACCTCCGGGCACCGGCTGTGGCTGCCATCAAACCAGCCACTCTCCGTCCGAACAACGGTGATCCTGGCGCTGAGAAGCCGAGCTCCGGGCAGGTTCAGGTCCAAACAGAAACAGAGAGAATCAAAGTTCCGGTCCGCGGTCTCTTACGTCAGAGCGGTTAACTACACTGACAACCAACTGCCCGCGTCTCCGGCCGCTTTTCAAAGATCCCAACAGAACTGCGGCTACAAACGACGGTAGTCGGCTAACGATGGCTAACGAGGTTTCATAACAGCCCCGATAAAACGCGACGTGAGGCCGCGTTGCTGTCCTTTTTTACTTTCACTTACACACACATCTCCCTGTCTCTGCGGCACACAATCTGCACTAAATTCAGATCCGTTCATCGGCTTCCGACTCGATATAAATGTTTTTGTTGTTAAAATACGTCCAGCTGCTGACGACCTTCTGCTGCTAAATAAAACGCCGGTGACGGGACAAACTGTTCCGTACTTCAGCGAGAAGGAAGGGTTAAGCCAACGATTCATGGAAAATATGCTGCCACCTACTGGACAGGGGGTGAAAACCCAAGGACATTTACACCAAGTCAGGTCAATGTTTAGCTCTTTGCAGAACCAGAATCAATATATTCAGTCTAAATATAGACAAGTGAATGCTTTAGAATATACATTTTAAAGCATTCAAAAATTTCTACTCAAATGCATTGTTTTATTTGCTTGGATGTATCAAACAACAACTTAATAGCTTTGTCAATTGAAACTTATAATAGAGATATATCTCTATTAAAAAACAACGACGACATTGGAATAATTGTCTGCTTTGTGATGGATGCGTGTTTTTTTTTTTTTTTTTTTACTTAATTAATTGTATTTATCTTTTTCTAAATGGTATGGACCAGTTTTTGTCTTGAAATAAAAACTTTCACTTATTTTTATTCAGGACATATTTTGTTTCCAGGGTGTTTTCATAAAACATTCCTTCCAGCAGAAGTTAGAGTCTGTTGGGAGTTTACATACCTGCTCACTGTTCACATTTTGTAAATAGTCTGCTGTTGTTTTTAAGCACAAATATACCTACATATTTTGTAATTTACAGGTTATTTCTATTCTATGCTAGTTAAATTTACATATAATAAAAATATTTAATTGTCTTGCTATTTTGGTAGATTGTTAAACTTGTCTTATTTATTTAATTATTATGTGTTTTTACTTGCTTGTGTTACTTAAACTACTTCTTTGTTTTTGTTCCGGGCTCAAGGTGGGGTCACCCTGGACAGGTTGCCAGTCTGTCGCAGCAAATTATTATACAACTACATTTTAAAAATGAAATTAAATAACTATTACAAAATAAGAATAAAACTGTTTCAACATATACTTTCATTTATCTCCAAATGGCACAAAATAAAAGACAGAAAATAGCACTTGCACAATGAAGTTGTTTACAAACCAGAAGTCTTACTGTGACAAATTGTAGGTTTTTGTGTCTTTTAAAAAAAAACCTGTTCTGTCTTGTGAATTGTATAGTAAGGTGCTTTGGTTTTTCAGCTCACATGTCGTCGGAAAGAGGATGGAAATTAGCTATTGTGCTAATTCCTACATATTTCCACTGCCATGAGTAATGGTAAGCCAATGTGCACTGTCCTAATGAAATGAATTAAATGAAATTATATTAAATTAAGCTGACAACACTCTGGCTTTTTTGAATAATCTGCAAAATAATAAAAATTATCTCTATCTATCTATCTATCTATCTATCTATCTATCTATCTATCTATCTATCTATCTATCTATCTATCTATCTATCTATCTATCTATCTATCTATTTGGTGAGCATTTTTTGTTAGTTTTTAGTTTGTTTAATGCCCTTGAACAATAAAATTAACAAAGACATTGGCATTAAAAGCTATCATTTAAAATTTAGTCTTTCACTTATGGCTTTTATGTTCTCTAAAATCTCCAAGGTCTCGTTTGACCTTCAGGATAAATTTTTACTCATGCGTATGAATGTTGTATCCTTCACCGCCACTAGGTGTCGACATTTCACCCCCCGAAAGCAGAAAGCGGACCGCCACGCCTGTAGGCGGACCAGCGCCATCGTCAGACCAGACGCTGGATACAGACAACAACAGTGACAGACCGAGAGAGAAAGACCGCATTTCTTTTTTTTTCCTTTCAGTTATGGGTGTAGTCTGAGAGGTGGAAATTGTAATTGCACTGCAGCTTTACCTCGAAGTTTAATCCTGATGAAGGAGCTCCGTCCTGGCTGAGTTGGGAGATGGGAGTACTTAACATCGCAGACCAGGTACGCTGAAAGGAAAGCCCTCCGTGTTTGTGTTTTGGCGCAGTCTATTTGCTGGAAGGAACCTGCTCTAGTGCGCAACATGCTACGTATTCGCCGAACCGCTTCAAATACTACTGTTGCTCATTGTTATTGCATGCATGTTTTTACTGGTTTAATAATTAGGAGGACAGAATTTCTTGTGTTTTTGATGTGCGGTACCGTTTTGGAGGTCGGAAGCGTAGCCTCGACCGTAGTCTGGGCCAGGGCCAGCTCCGTAGCTGCATTAGTTAGCTCGAGCCTTTTAGCTAACTGACGTAAGAACTGAAGGCCTGTAGGCCTCAGCTAGGGCTTGGTCTAACTGCTGGAAAAAATAATAAAAGAACGGGAGAAGATCAGCCCCATATTTAAATAACTGCAATAAACATTTGAAAACATAATATACCGTAATGCTAATATATTTTATGCATTCACTATCCCCAAAACATTTATATTTTTACCAACTATGTGAGCGGCTCAAATAGATCATATAGAGCGGTACGAGGGATGGGGATATTTCGAGTCATCGATCCGGATTAGTGTTAAGGTTTTGTTCTGTTTTGGTTTTAAATACATTCTTTTGCATAGTTTTATTTGTAACTCCGCGGTGTTTGTGGGGTTTTTTTTAGCCTCCTCTGGTCCAGGCCATCTTCAGTCGTAATACTGAAGAAGTTCAACTGTTATTGCACAGAAAGGAAGATGTCAATGCACTGGTATGTGAAAGTACATTGAGTTTTCATGCAGATCATACTCGATGGCATGCAAATTGGAGTCCTAAATCTTCACGTATTGTGCGTGTGCGTGTGTGTGTGTGTGTGTGTGTGTGTGTGTGTGTGTTTTAACAGGACCATGAGCGCCGCACACCACTTCATGCTGCTGCCTGTGTGGGTGATGTCCATATTATGGACCTCCTCATTGAATCAGGTGATTCTGCTACATTTATTGCAGATAAAAGTCGGTACCTTTTATAGTCCAACATGATGCATGCTCCATAAGACCGAATCCCCTCTAAGAGGGAGTGGAACAGTCAGCAAAAATAAATCTTATGTCTGTTTTTATAGCTAAAACAAAAAAATATACACAGAAGAGAATTTTGTTTGCAGGTTTTTGTGAACCTATACTGATGATAGAAATGTATATCTTTCAGGTGCCAGTGTAAATGCTAAAGACAACGTTTGGTTGACCCCGTTGCACAGGGCAGCTGCTTCAAGGAATGAAGTGGGTGTCTATTTTAAGGAGTCTGTCATTTTTAGCTAATTATTTTTATTTTTGAATTATCTTTTGTGTCCAACCACAGTTACATATGTTGAATGTTTTAATTCTAGTTCTTAAATATAGTAAGGTCCAGGACAATTAGACAGAATTTAAAACAAAAATTTGTAACATTATCTTATAGCTTACTTAAAACAGAAAAGGAACAATTTTCTTCAATAAAATAAAGAACATTTTGATTGGATAGTATTGCCTACAATATATATTTTTTATTTTGTAAGCAGAAGTAGGAAATGTAGGACAAATGTTTTAAATTTAGCAGTGACTTTGAAGTGTTGGTATAGTCAGCACCACAACTTAATTTTACTTCGCTCATTAGTTGGGCTATTTGCTCAAGTAGCCAGTCTGCTGTCAGCTTAATTTAATAAATTTCATCAGGACAGTGCATATTGATCAACATTACCAGAATTAATGGCAGTGTAAGTGTGCAGGAATTGGCACAATAGCTAAGTTTCAAGTAAGCAGAAAAAGCAAAACTCCTCACTGTGCATTTATTAGGACAGAAAAAAATAACATCAACAACAAAAGAAAACATTTACACTAGAAATAACTAGCCAACAGACAGAAATAGTATAAAAAACAGGGTACAAGAGTCTCAGCTATAGGCTTTCAACCAATGCTTGAGCTTCTTTTTTTTTTTTTTAGAAATCGTGTCGTTTTAACTGCCTCTGACTGCTTGCCAGTTGCAGTTTTTAAAATACTGTTCATATAATAACTCACACTATAGTTTCTACATTACGGTTGTTCATTTGTTCAACAAAAAATATGTCAAAATGGTTATACAATTCTTTCCTACAAAAGGGGGAAAATGCAGTGTTTCAGCAGTGTGTAGCAACACGTGGGGGAGGGGCAGAACTCATTAGTTTTTGACTGTAGAGCCAGACATAATTTCTGGATCTTCCTTTCGCCTGTCATAAAAAAAACTTTAAAATGTTGCTGCGATAGAATGGAAGACTTTTTGTTTTTTTTAAACAAATTATTAATATTTTCATAGCTTACCTCAATGCTAACAAGGATTAATAGTTCAAACTGGGACCCTAACGCTTTAATTAAAACTGTAACTTTTGGTGGTGCCTTCCGTCTCTCCAGAGAGCAGTGGGTCTTCTGCTGAGGCGCGGAGCCGAGCCAAACACGCGAGACAAGTTCTGGCAGACGCCGCTGCATGTGGCTGCTGCCAACCGTGCCACGCGCTGTGCAGAGGCTCTGCTGACCCAGCTGAGCAACCTGAACATGGCAGATCGCACTGGTCGGACTGCCCTGCACCATGCGGCTCAGAGTGGTTTCCAAGAGGTGAGGCTGCAAGGATTAACCATTTCATGTGTAGACATGACTATAAAGTTAATTTCTGCTTGTTTTTTTTGTTTTAATTGTTGAGCAGATGGTGAAGCTGCTGCTGAACAAAGGAGCCAACCTGAGTGCCATTGATAAGAAGGAGAGGCAACCTATTCATTGTGCTGCTTATTTGGGTAAAAATGTTCCTATTTCATGTTTGGCTGAAACGATTAATTGTGACTAATCAATTATTCTTAAATAATCATCAACTAATTTAGTAATCAAGTAATTGTTAAATATACAGACTCAAAAAAGAAGGAATTGCTGAAGGAACAACATATTCAGAGAAGCAATTAAGCCAAAAATGTACAATAATTAAACACATTTTGAATTTAAGACTTAAAAAAATACTTTATCTGTAAATATGTTCTTTGCAGTTTTAGGTTCAAATTCTATAAAAAAAACTGACAGGAAAAAATAAAATCTGCAACTAATCACCTTTTTTTAATATAGTTAATCATTTAATCCAAAACATAATCAACAAATTATCCCTACACTGTTTTAAATCAAGCAGAAAGCGCTGAGCTTTTCACATGTTCATGTTAGAAGTATATTTAGCTGCTGATTCATTATTTGCTAAACATCAAGCATAGACTTAAAGAATGCTCCGTTTTTGCATTTTAGACACTAAAATGTTTTCTTAAGTAAAAAAAAAAACAGAAAATAAATGAATTATTTGTTTATTTGAATTAATGCAGACCTAATTACTTGCCAGTACTACAAACCAGCTGTTTTTCTATGTTTTTAGGCAGGAGTTAAAACTGTAGAAGTTAGATTTTTCCAAATAAAGAACAGTAACGTTGGTAAGAGTGAGAATGAAAGACACAATACTACATATGTTGACCAAGCTTTTTCTCCAGACATTTCTAACTCTGGACACTAAACTGTAGATCAAATCTTCCATTGAAATGTTGTTTTGGGATTTTTGCAGGACATTCGGAGGTTGTGAAGATGCTGATATCCCGTGGTGCTGACAAGAGCTGCAAGGATAAACTGGGTTACACTCCTCTCCATGCTGCTGCTGCAAGTGGTCACATCGAAATTGTAAAGTACCTTCTGAGGATGGGAGCAGAGGTGAGAGGTCATGTTTTTATGTTTACATCACTGGTGTCTACGGTTAATCATGTTGATTCGATCATTGTCAACTAGTTTAATAATAATTAAACTAGTTGTATACAGACTCATAAATCCAGCAATTTGCTGAAAGAGCAACAAACTCAGAACAATAATGAAACCAAAACTGTACAAAGAATATAAACATTTTTCATTTCAGGTAAAAATCCTACTTTGTCTGTAAATATGTTCAAACCAAAACTCCTTAAGTGATATAGTTTTAGCTTAATTTGGTTAAAAAGATCATATTGATCAACTTTTGCTTTGAAATTATTAATTGGTTAATTGAGCTTTTCACATGTTGACGTTAAAGTATTTTTTAGCATCCTCTTAAGGATCAAGCACTCTAAATGTATCATATTACATTTAAAGCAATAAATCGTTTATTTTCTCGTTTAAAACAGGATTGAATTATTTTTTTGCATATTTTAAGTTATTTAAATTATTGCATAGAAAACTGAATGAAAAATCTTGAGACTTCCAGTTTTTTAAAATCCAATTAATTGTCAGAATAATCAGTAGACTAATCAAATAGTTGTCAGAATAATTGATTATTTACTAATTAAAACAATCGCAAGTTGCAGCCCTACTGGTGTCTATGGCTTTAATGAGTCAGTTTACCTCTTTTTAAATGTTTTTGTAGGATTTTTTAATAAAGTGTGATGTGATTTTGGTTGTGCTTCACTGCCAGATCGATGAGCCCAACGGCTTCGGAAACACTGCGCTTCACGTGGCTTGCTACATGGGACAGGAAGCTGTGGCGACAGAGCTGGTGAACCACGGCGCCAACGTTAACCAGCCCAACAAGTGCGGCTTCACCCCTCTGCACCTGGCTGCCGTCTCCACCAATGGTGCCCTGTGTTTGGAGTTGCTGGTCAACAACGGGGCTGATGTCAACCAGCAGGTCAGAAGAGAGCAGCAGTGTTCACCGTGTTGTGATGCAGATTAACGCCACAAAGCGACTCTCATTTTAAAGTATTTTATTTATAATGCACCATTAGGCCTGTCACAATAACAAATTTTGCTGAGCGATTAATTGTCTCAAAAATTATTGCGATAAATACTAATATTTTTGAACTGATGTAGTGACATAATAATGCAAGCACATCCTGCTAAAAAATAAATACACTTTATTTTCAAAAGAACTCTTAACACTGGAACCGGTAAACAAAACAAACAAAAATAAAATGGACTCTGTCTCTGTTGAATAAAAACTAAACAACATAAAACCAAAGTGGAAATAAAAACTACATTCAAGAGTACAGAGTCTAGATTTAGATAGAGAAGATGGGATTAACCGACTACCTGATGATGATTCACTCCTCCCTTATGCTGAGGAAGTGAAGGTCAGTGGAAGGCACCGGATTTGAGCCTTTTTTCATCCAGTGTCATCAACAGAAAGAGAAAAGGGCAGGAAGAAACGATAAAGCCAATAAATTAAAATGAGGTTGATAATTTTCATTTATCATGCGATAAGTTGATTGTTTATCACGACAGGCCTGTTAACACCATCATTCATTTGCCACTGTTATTAGAGAAGGGATGGATCCAAAGTAGATGTATTTTAAAATTATACTAGCTTTGTGTGAATGTTTTTGTGAAAATAATTTCTTTGTTTCATCAGAGCAAAGAAGGGAAGAGCCCCCTGCACATGGCAGCCATTCATGGACGCTTCACACGCTCGCAGATCCTCATCCAAAACGGTAAGTAGGACTTTTTTTGTTTTCTTTTCATTTCGTTCTCTGCTCTGACTTTCTCTCTCTTCTTTGGGTTTTTATCAGGTGGGGAAATTGACTGTGTGGATAAATATGGCAATACCCCCCTCCACGTTGCTGCTAAGTATGGCCATGAACTGCTGATCAGCACTCTGATGACCAACGGAGCAGACACAGCCAGGTAGAGGAGAAAATCTGTCCACTCTCAGAAACCGTACAGCTTTACATGCATTGATTTATTTGGTGCTCAGCATCTAATGCAGCTTCTTGCTAATTTGTTCTGTGTTTCAGACGTGGGATCCATGGAATGTTCCCCTTGCACTTAGCTGTGCTGTACGGGTTTTCAGACTGTTGTCGCAAGTTACTCTCCTCAGGTTTGTTTTCTAAATAAATCCGCTCTGATTCACACACTTGTTTAATTCTTTATGTCTATGTGAGTGATTTTGTTCATGTCCCTTCAGGTCAGCTGTATAGTATAGTTTCATCTATGAGTAAAGAGCATGTGCTATCGGCTGGGTTTGACATCAACACCCCTGACAACTTTGGGAGGACCTGTCTACACGCTGCTGCCTCTGGAGGGTAAAAACAAAACTTTTATGCTCATTTTTTATAACCAGAGATATGCATTTATCATTAATAAACATATCTTTTTACAGAAATGTTGAATGTCTGAACTTGCTCTTAAGTAGTGGTACTGACTTGAACAAGAGAGACATAATGGGAAGGTGAGTTCTTGAACATTTTATCAGTTAAATTCATACATCACGGTATAATTCGATGTGATTGTCTAATTTCATCCGGCATGCGGCCTGTAGGACACCGTTGCACTATGCGGCTGCTAATGGGAGGTACCAGTGCACCGTGGCTCTGGTGAATGCTGGCGCCGAGGTAAACGAGCAAGACCAGACTGGCTGCACTCCCCTGCACTATTCTGCTGCCTCCCAAGCCTTCAGCAGGTGAGGCGTGTTTAGATTTTAAATTCAAAAACACATGAATACGCTGCATCAAGCTGATGAAGGGTGTTCAAAGTGCGGCCCCGGGCCATTTGCAGCCCATGGACTGCTTTAGTGTAGCCCCCTTACCACAATTCAAGAAAAAAAAAATTTAATAAATTAGGACAAAACTACAACTTTTTAAATTAAAATCTACTTATAAAAATGTTAGCTGCATCACAAATTGATCATTTTTCCAAGTTTTCTGGGTTTTCTTTATTTTCTTGGGAAATGAACCACATCTACTCGGTGACTAATCTAAATTAGCTATTAAAATCTGATTTTAATTGCTATATTAAAACTCGGTAGGACACAGCAAGTGTTTTCAAATGAAGAGTGACATCCTATTTTTATTGCTTTGTTTTCTTAAATTGAGCCCAAAATAATAAGCAAACTGTAACAATTGGTAGATATTCACAGATCTGTTTATTATTGATTTGTCAGAACTGATCGCCAATTTTCTGGGAACCATCAAAATACTGAGGATGAGACGAAAGAGTCCTACTTGTGAGTTTTTCTTACCTTCGAATAAATTTAATTATTAGATAATTATATATAATCAGCAACTCACTGAGTTTTGCTCTTTGCTGCCTTTTGTAACAGTTGCTTGGAGCATCTTCTGGACAATGGTGCTGATCCGTCTATGGTCAACTCTAAAGGTTACAGTGCTGTTCACTATGCAGCTTACCACGGCAACAAGCAGAACCTGGAGCTGGTGAGTTTTCTCACTAATGTTTTTATTATTCGTTTCTAGGATTGTCACCTAAGTGTGTTTTTTTTTTTTTTCCTTAAATCTTGTTCACCTTAACACTGCAAAGACATAAAATCTTAAATATTTTTGTAAACGTTCCAGTGCGAAACACTTGGTACACTTGGAATAAGACAAAATTAACTTGCAAGCTTAAGAAAAATATAGATTGTTTTAAGCTAATAATTTTTGAATATTGATAAAAATTGCTGGTTCCACCGGTAATTTATTTATTTTTTTACATATTCCTCTTATAACTTTGGAAAAACATCGTGCTATAGCAGGGTGCCTGCACATCCTAAAACAGTATTAAATTCATGTAAAATGTGTTAAACTTATATATACCTATAAAAAATATTTTCTTAAATTTAAAAACTATTTTTTTTAGTTAAGTTTAAATTAAAAAATGAATTTTCAAATTAATATAAATTTAAAGACATTAAATTATAATTTAAGGCTGGACAATATAATTTTGTTTACATTCCTTAAAACTATTTAATCCCATATATGTATATTTATTTTTTTTTCTCACTGTTCTGTCAGGTTTGAGCCGTGCTCAGACATTTTTATTGCGTTGTGCGACTCAGAGCGGCTGAGGCTAACTGTAACTAGCTGCTAACTAACTAGCGAGCTTTTCTACATCTATCATGATTAAATTTATTCCATGCAACAAAAAGAAAACGTTGCTAAGCTTGGCACTACAGCTGTTTTGCACTGACTGATTGTAACACAGCAGGATCCCCCAACTATCCCAGTATATTTATATTTTTTCCCTTTTAAATTTCTTTCTTGGTGGCATTGAAAAGATCAAAATCTAAATTTAACTCGCTGAAACCTAAGTGACAAAATCTGCCAATGATACTAGTAGTTTTTCCTCAATATTGAAGAAGCTTGTACATCTTCCTGAAAAGTCATTTGTAAGTTTTGGTTTTATTTCAAGTGTACTGTGGTATTTGTACTAGAGTTTATTTTTGCAATGAAATTACAAATTGCTTAAAGCTTTAGCTCACTCTAATTTGTTTATATGCCTGTTTTCTTACTTTTCCAGCTCTTGGAGATGTCCTTTAATGCACTTGGAGACATAGAGAGCAGCATTCCAGTCAGTCCTCTTCATCTCGCTGTGAGCGTCACACAAACCTCTGCTTGTTGCTCTCGACTAAATGCAAAGCGGAGACTAATTCTGCTCCTCCTGCAGGCTGATCGGGGCCACTGGCAGGCCCTGCGCGTGCTCACAGAGACGGCAGCCTATGTGGACATGCAGGACGCCGCCGGCCGCTCTGTGCTCTACCTGGCGGCGCAGAAAGGCTACGCTCGCTGCGTGGAGGTGCTTTTAGCTCAGGGGGCCTCCTGTTTGCTCAATGACAACCATCTCATGTGGACTCCGATTCATGTTGCAGGTATCGTAGCCAAAGCGGAAAGCCTTCTCTAGCGATGTGGTTGGTTGGGTTTTAATTGGTCTCTTCTGTAAACCAGCTGCCAACGGTCACTCTGACTGCCTGCGCATGATGATTGACTACGGGGAAGAGGGGGATCTCATCAATGTCACGGACAAATTTGGCCAGTGAGTTGTTTTCCTTTCACATGTAGAATCTACAAACCATTTCTTTGTATTTGAACCATGCCTGTAATACTCTAAGCTAATTTTCTTTGTGAATCAAGTTTCTGCTTCTTTTTGCTTCTTTTAATTGTTAATTGAATTGTTCATATTTATTGAGTGATCAAAAATTAAATGAAATTTACATCAATGCCATACAGTCATGTAAAAAAGTGACAAAATTTACATCTAATCTTTAGTTTATCTGTAAAAGTAAAACCTGGAAAATTAAGAAGCAAGGAATTAAATTTCTATTTGTTAAAACATCAACACAAATTATCGTCTTTCAGTTGATAAAAATAAGTTGGGACACCCGAATGGCTAGTTCTGTGGTTGAACATGTCAGCTTTGACTAGGCCATTTGTGTCACACTGTATATTCTTCACTGGGGGAATCCCTTAGTTAGAAACTCACCAAACAAATTGTATGTTTTTGTTTGTTTTTTTAAACAGGGCAAACATTTATCATCTGCACTTTATGTGGTAGACACATTTATATTTTTATCCATTTTAATTGGGAAAATACAAATAATTTATTTCACACCCACAGTGTGTCTTTATGTTGAACAGAAAGCTTTAAAAGGTGCTTTATTTAATTTTAGCTTTTCAGTTGAATTACTTGCATCTTTCACTGCCATTTAATTTAATATTAAATATTTACAAACTAATACAAGATAATTAAATTTTTTCACATGGCTATATATATATATATATATATATATATATATATATATATATTCTAAAATCTTGTTGTTTTTTTATCTGTTTTCCTTTAAGCTGTCTTTATTGCTGCTTTTGTCTCCATCAGAACCCCTTTAATGCTCTCTGTTCTGGGCGGGCACACTGACTGTGTCCACTTCCTGCTGGAGAAAAGCGCTCTACCGGACGCTAAGGACAAGAGAGGACACACGGCTTTGCACAGAGGGGTAAATCTTAAACACGCAATTATTGAACCACAATAAAAAACACTTGATGGGGACAGTAAGGGTTAATTTATACAGTGAAGGTTGACTTGCAGCAGGGTTAGTTTGGCAGTAAAATGGTGACACAAAATATTCTGGTGGTCATAATGTTCTGTCTAATCAGCAGATATGGGTAGAGCACCCAAAAATTGTACTTAAGTAAGAGTAGAACTACTTAAACATATTTTACTCATCCTAAAATTACTCAAACGTAAAATACTTTTTTTTTTCTTCAAAAAAGTTATTCAAGTAAATGTAACTAGTTTCTGCCCTCCTCTGCTAATCAGTGTTTGTAAAAAGGAAAAAAATATATAATTGTTTGTTTGACACCCAGTTCTACTTTAATTTGAACTCAAGTTAAAATAAAAACTACATTTTTTCACAGTTTACACCCAGAACAGATCCAGTAGCCCTTACGGTCTCTTTCGCCCAGCATAAATGCAAAAAAACCCCCATAATTCAATATGTTTCTTTTATTTGTTTGTATTTCCATAGGCAGTGTTGGGACATGATGACTGTGTAGCAGCTCTGCTGGCACACAAAGCTTCTCCGTTGTGTCGGGACGCCCAGGGTAGGACGCCGCTGCACTATGCTGCCTCCAGAGGCCACACAGAGATCCTGGCCAGTCTGGTACAGGTCACCATGGCAACTGACCCACAGGACAAACTGCTGGACAACAAACAATACACGCCGATACACTGGGCTGCTTACAAAGGTTTGCTCGGCTTCATGAGTGGAGAATCTGTAAAGATCGGTGGTGCCGTTGTTAAATCTGCACCGACGTGTTTCTGTTCTCAGGGCATGAAGACTGTTTGGAGGTTTTACTTGAATTTAAAACATTTATTCATGAAGAGGGAGACCCTTTCACTCCCCTGCACTGTGCTCTGTGAGTATTAATGTTGCATTTTCTTATGTTGGGGGCAAAACTTTAAAAAGAAACACTTGTACACTGCATCAAGTTACAAAACTGTTTCTAGGCTGCAAAACAAATAAAATGTGATCAGTAGATGAAACGAACAATACATGATGGCAGTAGATTCTTACAAAATGGAAAAAATAACCTTCACAGTCAGTTTATAGATAAATATAGATGATGTTACACTTGTTATAGTTCATTTTATTTCTTTTATGTGCTTCACTTCTGTTTTTACAAACAAAAACCGAATAGACACCAAAGGAAAAGAGAGCTGTATGCAAAATGATGCAGGTTGTAGACCGTGAAGTTGTTTTTTAAATTTTTTTGCTTAAGTCATATCTACAATTCTGTATGTATTTAATTTACCATAATAAGTAATTAAATGACTTGTCGTTTGTAGGATGAACGGCCACAGCGGCGCTGCAGAGAGGCTGCTGGAATCTGCCAGGGTCCACATGATTAACACCCGAGACGCCAAAGGAAGGTTGGTGGAAAGATTTACACATTTCCACCAGCTTGGATCAGGATCATCTTGCCGTCTCCACAGACATAAACATGTTTGATCCTGAGATGGTAACTTTACTCAGGATCTTCATAATTGATGGTTTTGTTTCTGTGTGCGCCTGTAGGACCCCGCTGCATGCAGCTGCGTTTGCTGAGGATGTGGCAGGACTTCAGCTGGTGCTTCGCCACGGCGCAGAGATCAATGCCGTGGATACGAGTGGACGCTCTGCTCTTATGGTGGCTGCTGACAGGGGACTCAGTGGCACTGTGGGTGAGTCTGAGCCCTGGTCTCTCTTCTGATCTAGAGCCTAAACAATAGGCTCTAGATCAGCCTAAATAATAGGCTTCTATTATTTAGAGGCCTATTTATAAACGAACAAAAACTGCTTTTTTTTGTTTGTTTTTATTTTTAAAAGTTCTAAATTTTTCCATTGTGCAAAGTAAAATATAAACCCAGTTGTGTCACCTTCACCAAAAATAAGTGAGATTAACTTTTACAAATTTAGAAAAGCTTGAATATCCAGAATCCAAATTGTCAGTGTTCCTAAAAAAATCTGTTCCTACTGCACCTTTTTAGATCAAATCTAAAAACAGACTGTAACTTGAAAGTGGCTTGTTTTTATTAACTGTATGCATTAAGAGTTATTAAAGAGTATTCACACAGTTCAGTATGATTGAAGCCAGATATAAAGCATTAATCTAGACTTCTGAACCGAGTCTTAAGGCAGGAAAAACAGAAAACTGCTCCAAGCTGAGAATGCATTCATCAGTTAAAAACGACTAAAATGTTGACCACGAGTATTGATGTTGTTGGACTTTTATAGCCTCAGATTATTTTTGCCTCAACATTCTGTTTATTTTTAACATGAAATGATGCTGTTGTTTCTTTGGGGTCGCACTGAATGTGTCTACGCTGATTCAGCATCATAAAAATAATTTTCCAACCAATTAAATGTTGCATAATCCTGCTGCAGACGAGCGTAATCGATTCAACCCACCTGTGTTGCTGCTGTTTTCTGTCTTACGTGTGTGTTTTGTTGTTGCTCAGCCATCCTCCTCCACCGAGCCAAGGCCGACCTGACACTGCTGGATGAGAACAGGAACACTGCCCTGCACCTGGCCTGCAGCAAGGTACCCGCTCTTATCTCCACAAGTTAGCACACTTATTAGCAGCATTAGCATCCTGCTAGTAATAAAACAACTCGAGCAGATATTGCTTTTAAGGTGAATTGTTCTGGAAACAGATCGCGGTTCCACAGTGATTGTTTTTTTATGCTTTGTTGTTTTTCCTTCAGGCCCATGAGATGTGCGCTCTGCTGATTCTGGGAGAGATCCACAATCCCACTCTCATAAATGCCACCAACAGTGCACTGCAAATGTAAGAACCTATAAACTATTACATAAAACACAGCACACCGTGTTCATATTTGTAGATTTTTCTGTTACATGACTCCAAATAATTTGCAGAAACTCTTCACTTTGGTGTGAAGTTTATTCTAAGATATTTAAAATGAAATACAGATTTGGAAGCTCTGATCAAGGTGAAATGCTACTAAGCTGTTTCTGAACAAGTGACACAAATGAGACGTAATGAAGAGACTCGTGTTAAATTTCATTGTTACACCAAATACTTCAAAATAGCTCTGACCTTTATCCAACAACATCACACTAAAATGTGATGTGACTTGAATAGTAGCTACAGTTTATAGTTTGCAGCAATGATGGCAGTTAAAATGATCAGCCTGAATCTGATTTAGACTAAATTATAACTGTGCAGAAGGGAAAATGCTAATCCTCCTTCATGGTTGACATTTCTCATCTACCCCAAAATGTCTTGATTATTCACACTAATTAAAATTATGCAGCTAAGAACATTTTACCCACCAATAATTGTGTTTATATGCAGGATTCCTGCTCCAGTGTGTAAATTTTACCATTTAAAACTTGAAGTTCGTGCATCTAAGTCAATATGCTTCTAATGAGAAAATGTTGTAGAAGTACAGCCAGAAACTCTGGTTTAAAACCATCTCGGCTCTTTTACTCGCTGTCCCTTTGCAGTGAAGTTTTCAGTCTGAGCTGCCATTGTTTTTGCTTCTGGTCTTGCGCAGGCCCCTCCATCTTGCAGCTCGTAACGGCCTGGCTACGGTGGTGCAGGCGCTGCTGAGTAGAGGAGCCACGGTGCTGGCTGTGGATGAGGAAGGTGAGAAACTTCACAGCTTCTGTGGCGCTGGGTCATTCCTTTCTTTTCCTGGTTTTTATGCATTTATCAGGGCAGATGATGTAGGAAGAATAATCTTATAATAGGCAAGTCTAAACTTGCCTATTATCAGATTATTCTGATAATATGCCTATTAACTAACTGCAACTAGTTATTATTGTAGTCATCGATTAATCGCATAAAGAAATTGGCATATTCTAAATAATTTTCATTTAGCCACTTAAATGTATTTCATACAGCATTATAAATACTTTAAAAATACTAACAAATCAGTTCTGTTTCAAATGAGAAAAGAAACATTTATTCATTTTAGGTAACACTTTATCAGTTGTAAAGGATGCATCTACAGCTAAAAAATACTTCCAATATCAACATGTGAAAAACTCAACGCTTTCTTCTAACTTATCATCATTACAGTGTAAGAATAATCAGTTGATTTTAACAGATTAATTACCAAAAATGCCTAACAGGATATTTTATTTTTATAGAATTTGAATCAGATGAAGCTAAAACTTTGCAATTTGAGGAGTTAAAAAATAAAGTAATTTTTTTGTTAGATGTTTTTGTTCTTGGATGCAAAATCTATTTGTCTTTTGAGCAGTTTATGCTAAGTTGTTGCTCTAAATATGTTCTTTCAACAATTTGCCTTCTTTTCGTGCTGTTTACTCTAACGATTAAGGAGTTAATAAATTAGTTGATAATTATTTCAATAATCGATTCATCCAAATGATTGTTTTTTTAACAGCTTATCATGTGAACACAAAGGAAATGCAGCTGTTGGGATTTTCTCACCCTGATTTTTCTGCCTGTCAGGCCACACCCCGGCTCTGGCCTGTGCGCCCAACAAGGACGTGGCTGACTGCCTGGCTCTGATCCTATCTACCATGAAGCCTTTCCCTCAGCGGGACCCTTCCTCCTGCTCCTCCTCCTCGCCCACCGTCTCCTCCTCCGCCGGTCTCAACTTGCTGAAGCACTGCGGCATCACCGCCGCCTGCTCCCCTCTGCCCAGCAACGGCCTCCACAACGGCTACGTCAAAGACCGCCACGGTGCACCAGTGGGCCTGGACGGGTGTCTGTCTGAGTGAACTCAGCCAGCTGCTATCGACATCACCACCACCAGGGGGCGACTACCTTAAACATGGTCAAGAGGACCAGAAGAGCACCCACCCACATGTCTGTTTTCTCTGTATGTACGTGTTCGTGCGTCTGTGCGTGCGTGAGCGTTTGGTCTTCTCTTGAGGTGCAGTCAAACCTATTATGCAATTAGATCCCATTCCTCCATCTCCTGGTAGTGCTTAATGCAAAAGAGGCAGATCGCTCTACAAGGTCACCACGACGAGGCATTTACTACGAACTAGCAATCTGGCCATCTCTAAATTATTTAACCCTTTAAAGCCCTGCTGACGTCATTATATAGCCAACTTCTCAGAGCATGGCGGTATCTGCACCAACTGTCCTTTTTCTCCATATCGTTCAGTAGAGAAGTCATATCATGTTTAACCAGAAAGGTGACCTTGTAGAGGATCGTACAGCCTTCCCAAAAGAATGATCAAAGAGTTTTTGAGCCTTTTTTTTTTTATTATTAAATTGTCTACTAGCCTAGATTTTTATGAAGGAACCACACAAGGGAAAGTCAAAGTTTTTGCGTAAGAGTGCAATGCTTTTTGTACTACAGTACAATCTGAAATTTGGGAAAAAGGGTCATAAAGTTGTTAAATCCTTAGCTTACTCTAAACGTATGGCCTAGAAATATTTGGCATTTTAAGATGATTTGGTAAATGCTGCTGAATTCTTGAGCATGTCTCCTTCCAAAGGAGAGCCATTCTGGGGTCGGCGCCGAAACGTGCCGCGTGCCGACCCCGCTTTTTGTTTTTAAAGATGCTAAATAAGTGTTTGTTAAGCTAGAATGTTTCTAAGCATATAAGTTATGACCAAAGTTGATCAACACTACTATGGCTATAAATTATTTATTTGAGATGAACTGTACTGTATAGAGAAAGACAATAGATCTCGATATACCTCGTCAACTTGTTTAGCAGCTGCTTCATCTTCACCCAGGGTCCGTAGGCCTAACGTTCTCTTCTTTTTTTGTTTTTTTTGTTTGTTTGTTTTCGTAGGACTTAGAGAACTGCTGTAGGATAGTGACTGACTGAGGCCTTGTTTATTTCTAGATGAAGGCTTTACTAGTAATATCTGCCAACAACACCTCATCGAAGCATCTTATATCTGAGCACATAAATGAACAAGCCATTTCAATTTATTTCCCATCTCTTTAACAGTGTTTTCCAGAGAAGATTTCACAATTTGAATGGCCTGATTACTGAAAGAGAGCAATCAGTCTTGTTTTTAGGCACTAATAATATTTTCCTTTTGTTTTTTTATTTTTATTTTTGGTGCGTGTGTCTAAATTTTGAGCTGGCCATTGACGTTTAAGCTCTCGCTAACGGAGTATTTCGTGGAGCTGGTGAAGTTGTCTTAAGAATCGCAGCTTCTTAGTGGTGAACTGATCCGTTTAAACAAATATTGTCTCTTTTTCTTTTGAACTATTAAAATTATTGGGCGGTTTCCAAGCAATATTTTCTTTTTTGCCTTTTTGTTGAGCGTTATTAAATAGACAATCACTGTCACAAGGGCTTTTGTTTCCCTAGAATGTGTTTTTTTTTTGTTTGTTTTTTTCATTTCTTTTGATTTACCTAAAGACTAAACGAATGGCTCTGTGCGTGCCGGGCATTTTACTGTCAGTGTCAACTTAAATGCACTGGATTGCCTTTGTGGCATCTCAAGAAATGCCTTTTGACCCATGCCTTCTACGACGCTTCATTTCAGTTGGATTGCTTGGTGGTAGAACGCAACAAGCCCTGACACTGATTATGTTGCCGCCCGTTTGATGGCAGCGGCATTTAACTACAGTTACACCATCGTATCTAATGGGAGTTTTAAGTAGATAAACGACGAATAAATAAATAAATGCTTGGCTTATCTTTACGCTCCGGCATTGTTAGTCGAGCAGGGAGGTCGTATCCCTGCAAGAAACAAATAGGGCTAAGGAGAGAAGAAGAAGAAGAAGAAGTATCTCTGCTTAGGCCAATCCCTGTTTAGATTTCAGGAATAGCAGAAATCCAAATATGTGCTTTTATTTGTGTTAATTTAGTTGTCTCCTCATCCCATTTTCTGGTATTAAGCATACTAAAGATGATTGTATCAGACCACTAGAGCTGTTGGTGACTCCTAGATGTTTTATCTATGCTATTTAGTTGTGTTGAGCCATCTGACGGTGGTTAGCTGAGTCAGATGGCTTTCCTTGGTGTGATGACTTCATATCCGCTGGTGTTGAAGTGGCACAATTGCACACGTTAGTTTGACTGGATAAGAGAAGAGGACCTAGACTAGACTTTGTTGTTGAATACACTTTACAAAGGAAAAAATGCTTTCACGGCGGTGTATTAAGCTTGGTTTTTGTTTCTCAAACTGACGAATATTCTTTTCAGAGCAGCAATCTCATTGAGTTAAGAGTTATAGATTACTACTTTATTCGGCATCTATGACTGAAACTGAACAAATCTGTGAAGCCCAGCCTTTTGTTCTCCTGTTGGAAAGGCGGTGATGTTAGCTGGGGCTTTTTCACCAAACTGGTTCCAGTGCTAAACTGTGGCTGGTGCTTCCTTGGCGCCAGTTGTTTCTGTTCCCAGCTCTGGTAGCGATTAACTGGTTCATTCTTTGCTCCAACTGGAGTGAAAAAAACACTTTGATCAGGAGCTGGAAGTGGGAAAAGGGAGATAAACGACCAATGATTTCACTAATTTAGAGCAAAAATGGAAAGAAACAAACACTTGAATTTCATATTAAAAGATAAACTCTCTCTCTCTCATGTTTCCATTAATTATACTGAAATCCCCAGCTTAGTTTTGGAACACTAAGTTATTTTCTATCCTCAGATACTGTTAAGAAATGCTCTAATCGCAGAGTTTAAGAGTTAATCGCAACACTGCTGGTGGTATTAAGAGTTAATAGATTAATCTGGTGATAATAGAGCATCTTTTTTGCACAAATGGGGAGAAAAAATGTTTAATTTTTGGAGGTAAAAGCACTGATATCACCCTGGCAAATTAGAAATAAAAGTAATAAAAGATCAGACTAGATTAAACCAACCTGTTTCTGGCTCCTGTTTCTCTTTTTTATCTTTTTTTTTTTTGGAACCACTTTAGTGGAAAATGCCCCACTGATACTGCAGATAGGTACATACTTTCACTATTCTTCTCAGGATTCCTGCTAAAACAGCAGATCGAGTTTCTTAATTCAATCAGATCTCTTATATCTAAAGTTTTTTTCAGTTTTTTCTTTTACATATTATTTTTCTCCCCGAGATGGGATGTTCCAAAATTCAATTTTTTAAAAATCCGTAATCCTACAGCACTTAATTACATAGTCAAGCACGCACTTTAGTACATTCAGGTTCTAAGTGTGCAGAGTAGAGCAGATGTAATGTATGTACTTATGTTTACATGCATGTGTTGCTGCTGAATACAGGAAATGTAAATGAGAAAAGGTGAAGAAGAAAAAAAGAAGCAAAGGCTGGAACTAAATTGTACTGCAACAATGCATTATTTACAAAAATAAAACGTATATATATATATATATATATATATATATATATATTGAATAAAAAAGGGGTGTTTCTAAGCACTTGGGGACAGAGTCCGCTCCCTGCTGACTTGTTATCTCTTCCCATCACCCAGCCTACTGTTAACAATGCAGACTTTGGCCTAAGTCCTGCAAAGTCAGTTGCGAGATTAAACCAACACCTCAGGCAGGCGGGCAGGCTTCACTAAACGCTCTCCATATCCTCTCTGCCATCTGTAGGTGCTGTCAGGCCAGCCTGGTTTTGGGCAGGGATTTTTTATTTCATTTCTCGTGATGTCCTTATCTGTGTCGTAAATGGAGTCAGTCATTGACTTGTGCAATGGCGCTTGATGTAATCTGTTTTTTTCTTTTTGTATTACAGTATTCTTATACATGCTTTTTATTTTACTTTTTGTGTACCAGTGATACCAGTGATTGTGCATGGAGCTAGGTTGCAGTTGTGACGTAGCTACTATTAAACAAATGGAGCATAATATACAATATATTTGGAGTCAGAGATGGAAAGAAAGAAAGAAAGCAATGAAAGGTCCAATTGTAGCAATAGCGTGTGTGTGTAAAAGTGTGCAGCACAAATATTGCACTGCCATCCATTTTAGGCCAATTCAGTAAATCATAGCATCAATGCCAATGGAAGATTCAAATGCGGGTTAGATGTCATATTTTATCACGAATAAGGCCTGTTTGCCAAAACGTGTTGAGAGGGAGGGAGAGAGGAAAGCCTCTCTGTTAAGCAGCAATGGATTTATGCATATGTTCAAGCAGTTTACAGTCTGACCATCAAATCTGAGCCATGAATTTACTGACTGAAATGAATGTAGGGTCAGTTCAGAGCGCGACAGTTTTCTTTCTCCCGACTTTAAACTGTTGCTCTTCATTTGTCTTGCGTAGATATGAATATACAGGTAGCATGTAGAAATATAACTCTCTACTTATTCTAATGTATGTGTAGTAGTCTTCCTGCTTTGAAGGTCTGGATATGTTTTGGTTTTTTTGTTTAGGTCCCCCCCCGCCCCCCTCTCTCCCTCCTTCTAGGCGTTTGTAGTTGTGTAGATTGAAGCCTAAAACCATAAAGGATAAAAGTGTAGATGAATTTAACATTAACGGTCATCCATTCCATTGAGATTGCCTTACAGTACAGTGAAACAAGACGGACGAAAAATAAAAGGGTCTACAGTAGATAAGATGACACATACTCATAAATAGCCTATATTTGACAAAATGCACCTAAGCTACACCCATTTAGTGCCATAGAAACCTTGATTTGCCTTTAGACATGAATCATATTTACTCGGTCAGTAACATATTCAGACGTAGACAGGATTCTTACAGTTTTGTGTTCGGAGCTGCATGTCTCTAAGCCAGTTATATTACTCAAAAGAAAGCTATATAAACATGTGCATGAGAAATTACTACTTAAAATACAAGTATTCTGTTGAATTTTGGTGTATTTTATAATTGGACATTTTTTCTGAAGTATATAGGTAGTCCCTTTAGTATTGACAAAGCAATCCATTGTTTGTGTGTTTAACAAGGTGGTTTATATTGTGTGTTACAAAGGAGAAAAAAAAACATTTTTGATGTCCAAAAGACGAAAAAAAAAAAGCATAGTATATACAATATAGAATTGATTTGCCTCAATGGATGTCTTGGTTTTTACTTGAAGTAAATGGCAAATTTCAATTCAACTCTGATCCACTGTTGAGCCTTTTGCCTTAAAAGCTATAACAGAAAATAAAACCTGGCAGCACCCGAGATGCTACATCTCCTGTAGAGTTATGCTTCTTGCTTTGATTGCTTTAAAAAAATAAAATTGGCTACTTTTAGGTCCCGCAGACGCCACCCCGGGGGGTCGAGAAGCACACGGATAAATTGAGGTAGCACATAGCTCAAGGTTGCCATGGTACCAAGATGGCTCTGAGAGGTTGGGATTTCGCCATATTTTCCACTGTGAATGAATGAATGAATTCAGAATTCACTTGTAAACACAATCAAACTATGGCTTCTCTGTTATCCAGAGCCAAGTGATACTGGGAATTGACGTTGTGTACCTCAAAAAAAAAAAAACTAAGACAGGAAGGATGCTTGTACAGCTATGCTAACAAAGAGTTTAAAAAAATCCTTGTACATCCATCTTGTGGGTTGTGTAATTCTGCTTAAACCAGCCTAAACCAGACGATCTGCGCGGAAGCGTTTGATCAGCGTTGGCGGATGTCTCATGTTTCCTACCTTGCGAAGGGGCAGCCAACTGCACCTTGTACTTTTTATTGGACCTGCAGTTTTACCTCATCAGTGATCTTTTGTGTGACGATGCTGACATTGATTGTGTGGTGTTTTTGTTCCTTTCCCCTGATGTCAGTCATGTAGATTACTCACAAGTAGAAGAAGTAGTTTTGTGTGCTTGTGACTTTACAACAGAAGTTTGTCATATCTAAACATGCACTAGCCCTTTTTTCCTTTTTTTTTTTTTAAACTGAAGCGCATATTTACCCTGTTCTAACACATCTCCCTTCATTACAATTAACAGATGAATCTGTTATTTGGTGCAAGTCAGAGTAAAAAGGTCCAGTTAAATATCAGCTGGGATGTTAAGGTAGCTATAAAACTTTACCTCTGTAAGTCAAAACAATATAACTTCACTGTTTAACAATCTTCCCAGCTGGTTATTCATTCCCTCTACCCCACCAATATGACCTGTGTAATACCAAGCACAGAGGTGGCACGGTGCCTTTTACTCGTAACTACCGAAAGGTACGGTCTTCCATTTGTATTTCCCAGAAGCCTTACAATGGGGGGAAAAAAAAACACGCTGAACAGACGTGGTGGCAGAACCGAACTCCCTCTGAGTATCATCATTTAAAGGGCATATATCATCAATTTTTACCGCTTTTCTTTTTCGATTGGTGTTCAGGCTTGTAGCTCGTGCTAATGACAGCAAGCACAAGGCCGCCTAAATTTATGACGCCACACCTTGGATGCAAAACTCTGGCATTGATTGTAATATTATGTCCATCCAAGACAAAAATAGAGATGCTAAAGGCTTGAAATGGAGAAAGTTGGAAGAAATGTTTCTAGGAGTGGTGACTTGGAGACCTAACAAACCAGCACCATATAGAGTGAGTAGAGCTCTTTTAGAGCGAGTCTGAACTGGAGGCATTCAGTTCTGATATTTTACTCTGATGTGGTTATCTCTCACTTTTGTACACATCATAGGTCGGTGTTTTTATTTAGTTTTTTTGTGAGGGTTTAACTGCATCACAGTAATCTCACACCACTCAAACTTTATCAGTTTATTTCCCCACAATTGCAATTTTGGCCCTAAAAAAATCGCTACAATAATTGTACTTGTCTTAGATAGAAGGGAACTTAAAATACTGACGTTAAATCCGATCGGCACTGATCAGTCCTCTGCTACGATCAACAAAGCGATGATGGATGGATATTCAATCAGGCTGTAGCTGCAAACACTCATCCATTTGGCTCAGACACGAAGAAAAACAAAAGTTATAGCTGAAGCTGTCATCGCTAAATGTTTAGAGTGGCTACAAATTTTTTTTTTTTTTGCTGTCAGAGTAATTTTGAAATAATGTTTTTGCTCTAAAAAAAATAACGGATTTCAAGAGTGGCTCTATAATATGATATTTGCCCTTTAAATTATGTTTCAAATTAAAAGTAAAAGCCTAAATAACTGCCTCTAGATTCGCTTGGATTTCTCCACACATTTCCCGTGACTTTTAGGGTTGCAGAAGAAATTGCACACTTCTGGTGCGATTTCCTTTAGGCACATAAAACGGTGAACGAACGAACGATCGGTAGATTGAAAGCACAAATCCAAAGAAGGCACCTCGGAGCTCGGAGGGCTCTCCGAACCATAAGAAGGAAAGCAGACCAAATTTAGGCCAAGATGTGAGGGAGGAAATAAAATGAAAAAAAACAATAAAAAAAACAAAAAAAAAACACTGAAATCTTGATTATTAGAAACAGTAACTGTAGAGAGACCGCTGTCTGAAATTCCAGAGCTGCTTCTGATTATTCCTCTCAGCCTTCTGGGTTTTTCATCTATGATTAGTAACTTCTTCACAGTGCAAACCAAGTCGTCATCGAACTTTAGGGTGAACTGTTTGTTGTGACTGTGTTGCAAATTGATTGTGGAGATAGTATTGTGTTATTTTAGGGTAGACTGAACTAGAAATAGGATTGCAGTTTGTAGCTGTGTGCAGTGTTAACGGTGTGATCATATTCTAGAAGTGACGTAACATTTGTTGTCTTACTACGACATTAAGGCATGAAAATCTTCTGTCAAGCTGACCTCGTTTGAAATAGATATAAGTGCAATAACCTTTTGTTTATCATCGCTTCCTCGGTTGAGTAAGAAAAAAAAATTATGATCCCTTCTTCTTTCTTTTGATAAAAAAAACAACAAAACAAAAAAACACCAAAAGTCACTGATCTGTAGCAAATGAAGGATTTCAGCAGTCCTCTTGTTTGTACTCGGAGGTGGCATTTAAACGTGAGATGTGAGATTCTGTTCTTAAAACTGTGATTTAAAATGAAAGTTTAAAAGCTGCCTGCTCAAACACAGGACCGTGCACAAGTTGAAAAAGTTGGAATAGCTTTTTTTTTTTGTTTTGTTTTAATGGATGGACTTTGATGGTATTGTAATTTGGACTAGACGCGTTCCTTTGCATGTGTTCGTGTGTTTATATGCATCCTCGATTCCTCCTTTTTAATCGGTGATATGAGGGGGGAAAAAAAACTAAAAGGAAATCTGAAATGCCTTATGTTGTTCTCAATGTTGAGCATTAAGGGTTTTTTTTTTTTCCACGCCCCTCCCTTTTCAGCGTGTAGCCGAAAGCTTGTACAGTCGAACCCACAGGAGATTTCCACCCGTGCGTTTGTAACTCGGAGGTTTTTAGAGAAACATTCCCCCCCCCCCCGAAAGTGCCGTTTGTTTTCACCAGCAGAAGATGCGAAACCGGGGGAGAGAGGAGAGATCGCGTTTACACAAAAAAGGTGGAGGGTGGATTTTGGAAACACTTTGCGGTGTTTACCGTTGAAATGAATGAAACCAAGTATTTGTGCGCAGGTGAAATAAGACGGTGATATTCTGACGGAGCACCTTATTGACTTGCTCCTTCTGTGAGTCTCCTATTGATCTTGATTACTCTAAAGCAGAGCCATATCAGAGAATTTGCCCATTAGGAGCCCCATGAATGTGCTTTTAGCTGTAGGATGTATATTGCATGTTTTGTGATACTTTAGTTGTATTTGTAGTCCCTTTCATGTTTTTTTTTTTCTCTTTGGTTTAGTCTGCTTCACTGAAGATTTTACCACCTTACTGCAACTCATGAGCTTTTAACAATACTCCATCAACTGGACTTTAGGCAGGTGTTGATCTGCTGCTGAGGCAGCCTTAATTTATTACAGATTTAAAGAAAAATAATAACAATTGAAAAGTAAGCCGCCTTGTTTTAATGCGAGTGGCTTATCTGGGAAATAAAAACGGAGCCCTTGTACGTGGAAGGACTCTGAATCAGGGCATGTGATGAATTACAATCAAATTATTACCACGATGCACCTTCACAAGCATAGGAGGAGGAAAAAAGTTGGCTTGTCCACCTGACATTCCAAATTTGATTTTTTTTTCTTCCATGGTCCTGTCTTTTTTTTTTTTTTTTGTCATTTTGCTTTGCTGGTGGATAAAGTGTGTCAATGACAGGGTTCCCTATTTAGCATAACGCTGATTACCTCATTTACAAGTCTGCAAATATACTATTCTACTGTGTGTGAAGGAGTTGATGCCATCACCAGCAGCGCGGTCTCCAGACCTGTGATGACAACAGGACCAATGAATTTACTCTGCTCACATCAGCCACTTTCAGATCAACAACCGGAATAGAAACAAGCGGTTGGAAACATGATTGAACTTTTATTTTGGCGGGCCAAAAAAAACATCCGTCGACGATTTACTTCAGTTAAGAGCCACAGCAGCTGCTAGTCCAGTCAACACGAACAGATGCATCTCGATTCACCAGAAAACCGACACAAAGTTAAATTATTTCTGTTTATTTAAGGCTTTAATTCCTTTTTGGGGATTGTCACTCACTGCTACTGAAAATCCCAAAAGTCTTTTTTCAGAAGCGATATGATCGGAGCTCCTTTGACATGGTCTGTCCACAATTAAAGAATCTACTCAAACATTTAAACTGACTTTGCTTTACTATTCTTTTCCAAACGGTTTTTCTTCCACTCAACTTTCCAGGAATGGGCTTGTAAACAGTACAAACATTTATCTTCGCTCATGACGGTTTGTAGATGTTTCCTGATTAACTGAATCTTCATTAGCTGTAAGCCACAAACCCTCCTGGACGTTTTTCCTTCCACTCACCTTTCCATGAATCTGATTTTATACAGTACAAACGGCCATCTTTGTTAGTAATGATGTTTTATGGATGTTTCCAAATTAACTGAATTTGGAAACGGCCATATTCAGTGTGGCTGCACTTTTTTCCTTCCATTCAACTTTTCATGAATTGGCTTGCATACAGTACAAATATGTATCTTTGTTAGAAGTGATGTTTTATGGATGTTTCCAAATTAACTGAATCTTCATTAGCTGTAAGCCACAATCCCTCCTGGACTTTTTTCCTTCCACTCACCTTTCTATGAATCTGATTTTGTGCAATACAAGCAGTCATGTTGGTTAGTAATGATGTTTTATGGCTCTTAACTTAATCTTTACTAGCTGACTTGACTTTTTTTGCTTCCACTCAACTTTCCATTAGCCATCCTCGTCAAAAATAACAGAATAGATTCTTGAAGTTTTGTCTCTGTTTAGCCTATCTGATTTCAGAGTGAGTTTCTCTTTTTAAATTGAGATGCACCTGTGTCGTCAGATTAAAAATTAAACTTAGAAAATCAAATTAAAAATCTACCAGCTCAAACATTGACTGGGGTGGCAGCTGCTGGCGCTAACTATCATGGTTCAGTAATCCTGGCGTATCACAGATATTTCGACATTCTAGCATTGCTCGCTGTTTTGTTTTTGTTTCTTCGTAGCATTACTCCTACCTCCTTGTTTTGCAGCATTGAGTATTGTTTGTCTCTCCACCTGTTCTGGCTTTTAATGGGTCAGTCCACTGTACGGGAATACAGATTTATCATGAGCAATTGTATACTTATACATAAAGTGTGCTTGGATGTGCTGTACATGTCTACTTGACGTTTAAAAAAAAATATTTATGAGAAGCATTTATACGACAAAATACCACTGGAATGTGAAGCCAGACAAAGTTGTGATGCAGATTATGATAGTCTCTCCCCTTTAACATTCAGTGGTGAATGGTCAGAGGAACCATCTTTAATAAAGTAAATAATTACCTTTTCCTTTTAGTTATTTCATTTTTCTGTGTATGCTTTTCTGTCCAGCCCTATAATATGAGATAATTCAACGATTACAGCTTCGTTTAGGCTCATGCAGCTGTACTGATATCACAGGTTGTCACGATGAAGATGGGTAGATGGATTCTGTTTCTGAGGGTTGGAGGGGAGGAAAGTCGGTCTGCGTCCCTCAAGCTGTTTGCCTTTGAATCCATCTGTCCAGATTCTGGCTGCGTAGGCGTCCGTTTCTCCACACTGCCCTCACTTTTTACACCGGGTTTGACTTACAAGGGGTACAGGACAAGGTGAAAGGTTTGAGGTTTTCTCCCCACCAAATGTTACGGCCCTCCCCTCTCCCTACCGCTGCCACCTTCACACGCCAACACGAAAACAGGACCAGCCCCACTCCACAAACCCGCCGTCTCACCTGAAACCTCAAGCCATTCATGTTTCTGTTTTTGTTTCTTCAACAATGCAATCCTGAAAGCACTTTGCCTTGTTATTCCTTTGTGTGAACATGTGAATGATAATTTGTTACAGAAATGTTAAATATGTAAAAGATCATTCACTGTTTTGGAAAAACCTGCATCTGTCTTTCTGACGTTAAAAGAAAAAAAAACAGTTTAGTGACATTAAACCTGAATCTATTTTATAAAATGTTTGCTGCAGCCAATTGGTCTTGTCATTCAGTATTGTGGCTTAGGGTTGTTTGTGTTCAATAAAGTGCTATTGCTAAATATTTCCTGTCTCATGTTTTTTTCTTATTCTTTAAGGTTCAATGTTGTAAACAATTTTTTTTTTTTTGCTTTTTTGTCAAAAATCTTTCAGCTCATTAAACTAGAACTGGGCGATTTAACATATTTTACAGCATGAGTGTCAAACTCTTTCATTTTTTGCCACATCAAAAATCTGAATGCTCTTAAAGGGCCAGCAACACCAGAATAAAACCCACTGAACTCTTAAAATATTAATAAACAGCTGTTTGTTTCTGCATTCAATATGTGTTTCTTAAAATTAAATAATATTGAACATCTTTTCACGCTGATCAGTCGCTCCAGGATTTTGTTTTTTTTTGTAATTTTTGCATTTAAAATTACAGATTTTATGGTGTTGATTTAGAAATATTTGCAACTTTGTAATTTATGAAAAACAACTCAAACTTAAGATGGGGAATGTTGAGCATCTTGTGAAGTTTTATAAATAAGGAAATACTTAATCTTTTAACACATTAGTGTCAAATTAACACACTTATCAGTAGAGTGTATTTTCAAACAAATTGATCTGGTCACATCAGAAGCTTTTTCCTCATTATTTTAAGATGTTCTGGTAAAAATTGCATCTGTTTTGTGCTAATATTATGGTAATATTCTTGTAATGAAATACAAATTCTTACAGAAGAGATGACTGAAATAAACTGAACAGAAAAAACAAGAATGAGTAAATTCACTTTATTATTGTTTTCAGTGTTCCTCCTGTTCCCTCATTCTCCACATGGAGTATTTTCTTTTTCTCTACATCTTCGCTGCAGATCCTCTCCTTCCTGTTTGCCTTCTGTCTCGCAATAGTGCGAGAAAATTTGTGCCGCTTGTTGAAGATGCTGCGCCTTCTGTTGTTCAATTTGTCTCAATGGATTTCAGAGTCAGATGTAATTTTTTAATATTGTTTTGAGTGATATTTCTCCAGTTGAAGTCTTTTTCTATAATATGAAAATTATTAAACTATAATAACCATAACCTTTAGATGACAGCGCAACAAATATATCCTTTGAAATTTAAAATGTATCATGATAGCATCCTTTCTCAAAGAGCGATTTCCACATCTCCAAAAATGCCAATATTATAAAACTTAAATGATTTATTTGTTGTAGTACACTGTAAATTACATCTATTTCATGGTAATTGCATAGTTCCCCATTATTTAAACAGTTTTAATTATAAATCTGACTTAAATTATTTTTTTCTTTCCTATTAAACTGTCACTTATACATTCAGGAGTTAATCTATTTCATTAGATCAACGTTATTTCTACCAGAGACACAGAAATGGGTTTATTTTTTTTATATATATTTATTAATTTAATATAACTCATCTTTACTGATTAGCAACAAAAATCAATTAAATTTAAGATCTGTTGGACTTTTGAGACTTTTCCTCAGTGATGAATCAAAAATAAATTTAACTGAATAGAAATGATGTTATGTTGCTTTGCGTATTGAACTAAAACATCAAGAATAACATAAATATTTCTTCTGGTCAATGAAATATTTTGATCAGTATGGTATTTTTAAAATATATATTTAATTATTTTTTTGTACAATAGATTTTATAATATAACTTACATGCACACCATAATATTTCAACAATATAGGTCTGTACACGGATATATTCAGAATTTTAACAGAAACGAGGTACCTAATCTACGTCATCACGTTTCCGTCTGTCTGCGTGAACTCTAAAGTGTATGATGTAGCAGGACGTGGCTAGCAAGGAGCTAGTGGCGGCACGACGTCCGAAATACTCAAATATCCTGATAATAATTAAATTTACTTCATGTCGGAGTGAGTATATCGATCGTTTTAAAGATTACCTTTATCATCATTGACTGTAAACGACTGTTTTTCTGTCTATTTTTCCCAAACTGAGCTCAGGTTGCTTAGATCTAAAGCTAATATCATATCTGCTAATAAGGCTAGCTAGTTAGCAGATGTTTAAATTCACACCGTGACAACCAAGCTCTGCTGGTGTCTCACCTCAAGCGTTTTTAACGTTTTTTTCCCAACCAGCCGCCAGTTTAAGGTATTATAACCCTCCGTTATGTTGGATTTAGTGTTAAAAGCAAATAACCAGCCACGTAGTTAACACGAGCCTCGGCGCTTAGCTGAACTTGTGCAAGGCATGCTGAGGAAGAAGGTGGGAAAATATCTTTAAATGGCTTCTTTTTAAACTGGGTCAGTCCGCAGCAAACTGGGACAACACCGACAGAGATGTTGGGGATGTGTGTCCCTGAGGAGATGCACATATGGCGGATAATTTACCGCTGATTCAAGGGTGTTGTGTGAAAATGACAACGTTTCCATTGCACGGGGTTTCTTTTTTTTTTACTGTGCAAAGTTCTGACTTACGCTGTTCAATAGTTTACCTTTAAAAGTAGCTTTATTGTGTGTTACAGGTAAAAATGCTTAAACAGTTTAAAAGGGAACATACACATTGTTTTGCAAAAATACATAATTTATTTTTCTCTCTTTCCTTTCTGGTAAATTTTAGACAAAGACAAGAAGAGTATATTTTAAAACAAAAGGTTTATTTATTTGAGTGAAAAAAACTATCCAGAACGATTTGACCAATTATTTAGTTAATCATGATTATTTGTGATAAATACATTTTCATAAGCCACACCCCGGCATGATCTTTGCATTAAGGAAAAAATCTTAAATAGAGCCAGTTTGACAACATGAAACAGACGAAAGCTCTCAAGGAGCAACAAATCATCTGGACAACCAACAAAGTTATTTTAAGCTGTTACAAACCGGTTTGCTCTTCAGCGAAAACCTCTGCCAAATGGAGAAAACGGTTATCACTTTTTCCAGAAGTGTCTGGCATACCAAAATTACACCAAGGAGGGAATTAAGGAAGAACCCAAAATGACATCCAGAGCTCTACAGCTCACAGTTGAGTTTCATTATTCAACGCTGAACAAGAAGCTGGGAAAAGATGGAGACTTAATGCAAAAACAGCAGCATAGATAAACGTCTGTCCATCGTCTGACAAATAATATTGTATTTGGCAAACGACCAAGCCTGTCGGAATAATCAGTAAATCAATTAATTGCATGATAAATTAATTATTAAATTTCCATTTGCATGATTCATTGTTTTTTGTTTTTCCTCTTTTTCTACGAAAAACTGGATGACAGAAGTTTTCAGTCTGGTACTTTGGTCTCAACTAGCCTTTTTTTTTAAGTATAATTTTGTTTATAGAGGCTTCATAGTTTGTTTTGCTTATTTATTTTGAATATTAGAAATGTCTACCAGTGTTACGTGCTCATTAGAATCTGACGTTTATTGGTCTTTGAGAATGTGTTCTTGCATTATTATGCCATTACCTTTTATATTACTTGAAAATAGTCTCAAAACAACAATATTATTGTTTATCACAATAATTTCTGGGACAATATGTCCAGAAAAATTTGGTATTGTGGCAGGCCTACAACCAATGCAGTAAATCGTGTCAATATCATGACCACTGTCAGATATTCTTCTAAAATGTATGCGTCCAAAATATGTCTACAGGTCACAGTATTATTATTATTATTTTTTTTACTCAGGTTATCTTTGTCTGATGCTAGAAATTAGAAACATTTGACACAAAAACTAAATAAATGAAACTCTTTTGTATTTTTAGGCACCGTATGTGTCATTTTCAGAAGATAAATCGCTTTTGCCAGATGTGAGACATCGGCAAAAGATCAAGAGCTGAATGGAAACATTTGAGGCCTTTTGTGTGTGAGGTTGGTACCAGTTCATCCTTAAATAGAACTAGTTCCAAATTCAGTTCAGCCCGGTGAAAATGAATCAATTCATGTTCATAAATATTGATAAATAAATGGGTAACCACCTAAACATTTTTGGATAATATCGGTTCCAATAAAATGCATTATTTATTTTAGTCTTTTTTATTGATCCTAAATAAAAGCCAATAACAAATGTATTATTGGCTACTAGACAGTATATAGTTGGTAACTTAAAAGCTGAAAAATATTGAATGTAAAGATTATTTTGACGATTAATCGGATTAAAAGAAATGACATATTTTGCATACTTTTAATTTATCCACTTGAATCTTTTCTCATAATATTTGGAAAACATTAAAATATGTAAATAATTCAGTTACTTTTTTTGAGTAAGAAAACTTTTATTGTCTAAAATACAATAACATTCCTTTAATGAACCTTTGATCATTTGTAGAAAAGGTTTCAACTCCAGCTAAAAAAATACTGTCTGTTAATCTGTTCATGATTTTTTTATTTTTGGATTAATAGACAACAAAAGGTGCTTAATAAGACTTTTTTTTTTTTTTACAGAATTTGAACTAGGTGAAAAATTCCACTTTTAAAGACGAAAGCTTTCAACTTAAATGCAAAATATAAATATTCTTTGCGCAGTTTGACTTATTTAAGACTCTGTCTTTCATCAAACATCCTTTTTTGAGTTTATATACTCCAGTTAATGGTTAATCAGTTGCTAAATTAGTTGACGATTATTTCAATAATCGATTAATAACAATGTAGTTAATTGTGATTAATTTGATTAATCATTTTAGCCCTAATTTGCATCTTTGCTCATTGATTATCATGACTTGGAGGTTTAATCACCTGAATGTTATTTGGCACAAGTGAGGGTAAAAAAAAAACACTGGAAATGAGATGAAGTCTAAAATCTGCTGTTGAATCAAACAAGATTAATTTTAAGGTTTGGTAATTTGTTGTTTCATTTGACATCACAACATTTCATGCTCATAAACGGGGCATGTTAAAGAAATCAGGGATTTGCAGCGTGATTCTACAGACTGAATAGAGATGAATGATGTTATGCAAACCCTGTTTTCTTTTTGCCCATTTTCCCTGTTTGTTGCTGTTTTTCAGGAGGTTGTGGGTTGTGTACCATGGGGTACGATGTTACGAGGTTCCAGGGTGAGGTGGATGAAGACCTCCTGTGTCCCATATGCAGTGGAGTACTAGAGGAACCAGTGCAGGTACG